CGCTATATCAAATGCAAGGATTATTATTAACAACAACTTGCATTTGTATAGCGCCCTTCACACAGGGTAGCGTCCCGGAGAGCTTGACAGTGTTAGAGTCTGACCCCAAGCCAGGGAGAGAGGAAGGGGGGAGGTGACCATAAGCACGATCAAAAAGGAAGGTCTTTAGGCGGGATTTAAAAGTGAGGAGGGAGAGGGCAAGGCGGGGGTTGAGCGAGAGAATTCCAGAGCTTCGGGGCATAGTGGCTGAAGGCACGGCCACCGATGGTGGAGTGGAGGGTGTGAAACTTTCAGAAGGACCCAAACGACAACTGTATGCAGCAAAAGAGCAGTACAGATGTACTTTATATCCATAATGATGGATGATAAGTGCAATTCATATTCTACAATACCCCATCTAAATTCTAGCATAATGCAACTCTCGATAATGGTCACAAATTCTAGAACAAGGGGACATAGGTTCAAGCTAAAAAGAGAGAAAGTGGATATACAATTTAGATATATGTAGATTTACATAAACTCTACAGCAATGAAACAGGTCATTTGGCCCAACCTGTGCCTTTTCCGGTGTTTATATTCCACATGAGTCTCCACCCACTCCTTATTCCCTCCTATATCATTCTATTCCCTTCTTCGTCATTGCATTCTTTTAAATGCATCTACACAACAACAATTTGTATTGTATAGTGCCCTCAAGAATGCTGAAATCACCTGTTTAAACTATTTGCTTCAACCATAGCTTTGGGTGGTGAGTCTCACATTGCATCCTGGCAGTGATGTAACTTAATTTGTTTCCTTTTCACACCCTTGTGAAACAAGAATCAGTAATAAATAGCAATGCAAGAACGTACAGGATAACAGGACAAACAGGCTATATTGCGAAATCAGTTGAGCTATTTTCTGTGCAAGCTATACTCAAGCTACATTTCACAACCACTTTTGAAGCCTTACCCCTGTGTTGTGTCCTTTAACCTTATACAATAATATAATAACAACAATAATAATAAGCCTTGCATTTGATATAGCACCCTATCACGTCTTTGAGAGGTCTCAAAGCGCTTCACAGAATATAAAGTGAATCGACTGTATATTTTGTAGGCGAAACAATTGCGCACAATTGCATAACAACAAGTTACATTTATACAGCACCCTTCACATAGGATAACATCTCTGAGCGGTAGCATCTTGTACTTACTTTCAGATAGGACAAAATGGCAAAACAAGAGGTCACAGTTCAAAGTTGTAAAGGATAGACAGGAAAGACACTAAACACATTAAAGATAGACAGGATAGACACCAGGGAGTATTTCTTTAAACAGAAGGAAATTAAAGTCGACCTAGAACGGATTTCCCTCCCAAATCTTCCAGTTCATTTTGGTGCTTTTGAGTCTGCCATTCGCTGCATGAAATTAGTACGCTTTGAAGCTGTCAATACTATAATTGCCTTATGGTTCCCTGAGCAAAGGTGCTGTGGCATTGATACTAAGTGATACAGGCTAGTACCACCAGTTTCAATTTCCTGGAATGACTTGTTAATTAATAGCAAGGTACAGTGGAATGAAGATCGGACAGATTTAAAATTGGTTACAGCAAAATCAAGTTAGGGAAATAAAATCAGCCAGGGTTCTTGTTCCTGACTATTGACCTGAGTTCAATTCCAGGCAGAGGGCAAAACCTTGGGCAAGTTTCCTTACTCCACACGTCTAATAATAATCCCTCCAAAACCAAAAACAATAATAAATTGGTCATTTTCAATCTACGACTGTTTGTGGGACATTGCTGTGCGCAATTGGCTGCCGCGTTCGCCCACAAATATACAGTCAATTCACTTTACAGTGTGTTCTGTGAAGCGCTTTGGGACGTCCTCCCGACGTGAAAAACGCTATATCAAATGCAAGGATTATTATTAACAACAACTTGCATTTGTATAGCGCCCTTCACACAGGGTAGCGTCCCGGAGAGCTTGACAGTGTTAGAGTCTGACCCCAAGCCAGGGAGAGAGGAAGGGGGGAGGTGACCATAAGCACGATCAAAAAGGAAGGTCTTTAGGCGGGATTTAAAAGTGAGGAGGGAGAGGGCAAGGCGGGGGTTGAGCGAGAGAATTCCAGAGCTTCGGGGCATAGTGGCTGAAGGCACGGCCACCGATGGTGGAGTGGAGGGTGTGAAACTTTCAGAAGGACCCAAACGACAACTGTATGCAGCAAAAGAGCAGTACAGATGTACTTTATATCCATAATGATGGATGATAAGTGCAATTCATATTCTACAATACCCCATCTAAATTCCAGCATAATGCAACTCTCGATAATGGTCACAAATTCTAGAACAAGGGGACATAGGTTCAAGCTAAAAAGAGAGAAAGTGGATATACAATTTAGATATATGTAGATTTACATAAACTCTACAGCAATGAAACAGGTCATTTGGCCCAACCTGTGCCATTTCCGGTGTTTATATTCCACATGAGTCTCCACCCACTCCTTATTCCCTCCTATATCATTCTATTCCCTTCTTCGTCAATGCATTCTTTTAAATGCATCTACACAACAACAATTTGTATTGTATAGTGCCCTCAAGAATGCTGAAATCACCTGTTTAAACTATTTGCTTCAACCATAGCTTTGGGTGGTGAGTCTCACATTGCATCCTGGCAGTGATGTAACTTAATTTGTTTCCTTTTCACACCCTTGTGAAACAAGAATCAGTAATAAATAGCAATGCAAGAACGTACAGGATAACAGGACAAACAGGCTATATTGCGAAATCAGTTGAGCTATTTTCTGTGCAAGCTATACTCAAGCTACATTTCACAACCACTTTTGAAGCCTTACCCCTGTGTTGTGTCCTTTAACCTTATACAATAATATAATAACAACAATAATAATAAGCCTTGCATTTGATATAGCACCCTATCACGTCTTTGAGAGGTCTCAAAGCGCTTCACAGAATATAAAGTGAATCGACTGTATATTTTGTAGGCGAAACAATTGCGCACAATTGCATAACAACAAGTTACATTTATACAGCACCCTTCACATAGGATAACATCTCTGAGCGGTAGCCAGGGTTCTTGTTCCTGACTATTGTTAAGTGAATTCTGTTGAAAAGTGCACATCTGTGAATACTGACACAGATAAAGACAGCAGTGATACAGAAACTCAGAGGATACAGGTTCTGCTCACAACACTCACTGTCCAACAACAACAACAAAATTACATTTGTAAAGTAGATAAATAATGCACACTCCAACAGCAATTTGCATTTGCAAAGCACCGATTATATCACATAAGATGACGGTTTGAAGAACTTCATAACAACGATGGGGATCAATACGAATAGGAAGGGGTTGAGGTGTAAACCAAAAGTATGATAAACCGATGGGTTTTAAAGATACAAGAAAAAGTTTCAAGTAAAGAGAAGTGTAGGGAGTAGGTATCTCCTATCAAACTGCCTGCTCCCTCCGCTCAGCCGGCTCTGCCTGCTCTATGACCCCCGACCCATCACTCCGCCTCGCCCCTTCCTTAGCCTCCTTCAAGTCCCGCCTCAAAACCCTCCTCTTTGACCATGCCATCGGCCAACCACCTTCCCCTCCCCTCCCTTCTTTCCCCTGACCCCAGCTCGGGTTTGAAATACTGTACACTGTCCAGCACCTTAGGACGTCTTCCGGACGTGAAAGACGCTATACAAATGTAATCTTGTTGTTGTTGTAGGTACTGGGAGCCAGTGGAGGTTGGCAACAATGGGGATTATTGTTAATGAACGTGGGTAACCTATATGGTAGAGGATATGGCTTCCAGATATTTGTACACGTGTACAAAATAGTGAATGCGCAGTGTATTAGGTGCATCCATACACCAGCATGGTTACAATCAGCAGAAACTTCTGTACTTTGCAATAATGCTGCTGAAAAATACTGTTATCATAACCTCCTTAGAACAGATTACTTGCACCGGAATTGTGATTTTTGTTGAAGAGCGTCTTACAAATGACAGCAGTGCATCTAAGCAGCTCCTTCATGTTCTGCGACAATTAGCTTCACAAATTGAAATTTACAACACAGAAGGATGCTATCCAGCTCAAAGTGTATCTGGCTCCTTAAAAAAGCAATCCATTTAGTCCCATTTTCCCCTTATTGCTGCAAAATATTTCTTTTTTTGTATATCTGTCAAGTTCTCTCTCAGAAATTAATTCACCCAGCAGGGTATTCCACATCCAAACAACTCACCGTCTAAGCAAATTCTTTCTAATCTCCCCTTTGCTATCTTTCTTAAAACAACTTGCATTTATATAGCACCCTTCACACAGGATAGCATCTTAGATTGCTGTACAGAAGCAAGGTAAGACTATGAGCAAGGGGGAGGTGACCTTAGGCGCAATCAAAGAGTTAGGTCTTCAAGAAAGGGTGAGGCGGAGGGATTGAGGCGGAGAGTTTAAGAGAAGGGTTTAGCAACTGAAGGCATCGACTATGGTGAGTTAGAGAAAGTGCAGCAGGCCTGGATCAGCTGAGAGATCGATCGGACAGAAGAGTGGAGTACAAACAAGTCAGAGAAGTAGGAATTGTTGGGCCGTGAAGGAATTTGAATGGGGGTGAGGATTTTGAAGTCAATCTGTTCAGAGAGAGGGATCCAGTGGAGTCTGGCGAAAATTGGAGTCATGGGTGTGCAATCTTAAATTGGTGTTCAGGAGTCACCAACCATCAACAGTTGTATTGCTTCTGCCAGACATGTTGGCAGGTTTGAAAAAAAAGCTTACTCCCTGTGGAATTCTGAATATTCTCAATTGGATCACTTGGATTATTATCGTGGTGGGGGTGGGGAGGTAAGCCTTTGGAGCTGAACTGGTTCCAAGGTCACTTGCTTGGCAAGGAATGTCACAACTGAGTCAATCCTCTGATTTAAATTTCCGCATGCATCAGACAACTGGCTGCCTGTACAGGTGGACATTACAATATTGTAGCAGACTGGGGTTGTTGGGATGAAGAAGACTACATTCAGCCATAATGAGAAGAATAACTTACTTTATTACAACTGAATACACTGAGTTAATTGCAAATGCTTATAGGAGGCACCTAATGCTTAGAACATGTTTCCTCAAACTGCTCCTCTCCAGACTCCGTGCTCCCATGCCATACCCCCCGCCCCCACCCTCTGGTCAACTCATTAGGCCATTAGGAATGGACCAGCTAAACAATGGGAGGAGTCTCACGTAGCCAGTAGAGGACACTGTGTCTGTTACTGATTGTCAGATAAGTAATAATAATAATAATCTTCTAATGTTCCTAAAGTTGACGGGCCCATGGTGCCCTGGCTGCCAGCCTGTACCTGCACTGCCCAGGCCAGAACTGGTGCCTGAAGTCCTGATCAGCTCTGTCCCCAGAACAAGCCACTGGGTCTGCATTTAATCGGACCTCCCAGGCAACCCGACCGATGCATGTTACAATATACATGTACATATGTCTCCTGAGAAAGGATTTTGTAAATTGGACATTGCCTGTGGAAGTATTGCACTTGATGGCCAGGTCACCATGACTCAATTCATGCTTTTTCATATTCTTTCGTCTCATCTGGTCATGTTCATGGTCCACAGAATCATCGTTGTGAACATGAACAGACTTCAAATAAAGCGAAGGCAAATATCAAATCACTTCCTGAGAGGTAGAAGTTGTGCAATTCTTGATGGTGTAGGTTGAATAATAATGTGGATCTGCAATCCAATAAAATATTTGAAAGTAAGGTGTGCAGTTAGAGAGGGTTCTACGTTTGTTAGTCCATATGGAGCTAACTATAGCAGTAACCCACAGTCATCGCAGCTTCTATGCAGTGCAAATTGTCCAATTGATAATTGAACTGTGATTAAAATATATGTAAAAATTCTAGGGCAAAAGAGTCCTAATCCATTCCACTCGGAATCTACCCCAGCCCGACCCTACACAAAAAAATCTGACTCAATCCCAATCTCAATTTTTTAAACATTTAGAATATCAAGTATTAATGCTCTATATTACATGACTTCAATGATATTGAGAAAGACTGAATTCTGTAATCAGGAAGCATTACACAACCAAATTTCACTTGGTCTTAATTTTGGTCTTCACAAAGTAATCAGTCATAACATTAATGATTAAACAAAGTAGCTATTTCATTAATTGGAGAGATTGCAAGAGTGATCTTTTCTAAATACAAAACTAACAGACATATAGCAACTTCTCAATTTCCAACATAATACAATTTTACAACATTACAGAATCAACTTATATGAAGTATATTACTATTTAATAGAAGCAACTATTTTCCTTGAGAAATAGTGAATAAAATCTAAATTACAAATGGATTAAAATTAAGTTTGAAATTTGCTGAATATAAGCATAAATATTTTAACTCTGCAAGTAGATAAATGAACAGGCTTTTAGGAAATCTTTTAAGAGGTAAAAATTGTTTTAACAAGTTTCAAATGTCCTGAACAATCATTTTTTTTCAAAAAGAATCAGAATTGTTTTCATAATAAAACAATAAAGAAATAAACATCACAATAAAAGTCACTGTTAACTCTATAGTTGCTATACTATACATGATAGTAGTTAAGGCCCAGCCCTAGACAATAAGTAATAAGTGCATAGTCAGTTTAAACTGGTGAATAATTTTCAGCATTCCAGACACAATTCTTCCCTTCATAATGTTGCAGAAGTCTTCTCCACCGAGGATGGCATTTCAGTAAATTATTGTTACCTGAAAAATTAAAAAGGTACAGTATTTACAGATATATAGTTTTGCTTGTAGGCAAAAATGTCCAAATTCACCTCAGCTTTGGTTGATTTGGCATCAATTTTACTAACTTTTTGCCTCAATCTTGGCCAATATCTTGTAATGTCATGACACGTTGGACAGTTGTCAAATAGAGGCCAGTAACGGACTCAGAGGAAGAGAAAAAATATACTGCAGGAATATTTAATTTTTTTAATTAGTGCTTTTGATTTGCTTCCATTGGAAAACATGGATAATCCTGTAAATAGCATTTTGTCACCTTCCTTTGTTAAAAAAGGAGCATTGATATAGTTTGTTTGCACGCTGAAATGACTCAAAAGTGCTTCACAAGTAATTGCTATCAACTGTGGTGATTATTTTTGTAGGCAAACAAACATTGTAGGAATTGTAGGAGAGCAGAGGGGAGGACACAGGACTGCATTCATTCCATGTGATAAATATCAAATGTATTATCAATGTGAAAATAGAGATTGGTTGTTTCTGACTATTACATCCTTACCTATTATGCACAAGCCTTTCTTTGCTCTTGTAATTGCAACATTTAGTTGATTTGCATCTGTTAAACTACCAAGGTTCTTTCGTAACCATGACATGTTTGGATGATCTTCTATTTCTGAAAGAGGGAGAGACCTGACTGTGGACAGGATGACGTAGTTCCACTCACACCCTATAACAATAATAAAACAATGTTAATTTCAGTGCAAATCGTCATCATAAAATAACTAACCACTCCTCTAATAAATATTGTTTTAGTTACACAATTCTCTTTGTGATAACAACAACTTATATTTATATGGCTCCTCAATGTCAAAGCTTTACAGAATGAGATAAATAAGAAATTAAGTAAATGTTTTTATATTTGTAGGCAAGTTACACCCAACAACATCCTACAAATAGACAGAGCCAATTCATTTGAATTTTTGTGAGTCAGTTTGGGTTGGGAGGGAATATCAATTCCAGGACAATAGGAAAAACCTATTTCTCTATATGGTGTCACGGACATACTGTGAATACACATACAACAAGACAACAAGATTACATTTGTATAGCACCTTTCACTTCGGGAGGATGTTCCAAGGTGCTGGACAGGGTACAGCATTTCAGACCCAAGCTGGGGTCGGGCGGAGGGGAGGGGAATGCGGGTCGCCGATGGCATGGTCGAAGAGGAGGGTCTTGAGACGGGACTTGAAGGAGGCTAAGGAGGGGGTGAGGCAGAGTGACTGGGGGATGGAATTCTAGAGGTTGGGGGCAGAGTGGCTGAAGGCTCTCCCGCCAATGGTGGGGCGGATGGGTCGGGGAACGTGGAGCAGGCCAGAGCCGGCTGAGCGGAGGGAATGGGTGGGTTGGTAGGGGGTTAGGAGGTCGCAGAGGTAGGGTGGGGCGAGGCCATGGAGGGCTGTGTATGTGAGGACCAGGATCTTGAACTGGATCCTCTGAAGGATAGGAAACCAATGGAGTCGGGTGAGAATGGGGGAGATGGGGTCATAGAGTTTGGTGCGGGAGAGGACACGGGCTGCAGAGTTCTGGATTATCTGCAGCCTGTGGAGGGAGGAGTTGGGAAGGCCGAAAGCAGGGCGTTTGCATAGTCGAGCCTGGAAATGATGAAGGCAATAAACAAGAGTTTCAGCGGCCTGAAGGGTGAGGTAGTGGCGGAGTCGGGTGATGTTATGGAGGTGAGGGAAGGCAGAGCAGGTCATGGCTTGACTGTGGGGGAGAAAAGACAGTTGAGGGTCGAACAAGACACCCAGTTCCTGACTGGCTTGGTGAGCTGTAGTGTGCAACCATGGAGTGGTAACTTCAAAATAAACCATAATTGCCTCTTACTAAAGAAATTTTAGCAATAGTTCTTTAATCTTCGTAAGCAGTTATTGTAAGTGAGAGCTTCGTGGAAAACTATTGAGCTGAGAGAGCAGTTTTCAAGAAAGTAGTAATTTACCCCATCAAATCCATTCCATCATATAATATAATCCTTCATTTGATATAGCAGCTTACTACGCTGTCAATACATCTTATGGATCGTAAATAGTCACCCTACCATGGACTTTACCCAATCAATCTAATCTGACGAATACATTTTCTGTGTATTTTTGGCCAGGGCCCCAGGTGAAACTGCCTTATCTTTCCCAGTAGTGTTAAAGGATCATAATGACACAGCATTTTAACATTTCATCCAAAGAACAATCCCACTGACAACACAACCCTCCCCAGTATCATCCGAGATTGTGAACTCAAAGTCCCAATGTGAGCTTTAACCCACAAGATTCTTTATGATACCTGACAGCTGTGTGTCAATCTGGCTCAGTTGGCAGGACTCTCACCTCTGAATCAGAAGGTTGTGCATTCATGCCCCAATTTGGGACTTTGAACTCACATAGTTTAGGCTGACACTTCATTGCAGCGTTGGGGAAGCCAAAGTCCCATTGTTCTGGTAGACATTACAGATCCCATGGCATTATTGAAAAGAGAAGGGAGTTTCTCCTGGTAACCTGTTCAACAAATTGCTCATTGACTTCTTGGCTGTTTTATGGGACACTACTCTGTTTTTCAACAAATACGCAGTCACTAAACTTGGAGGAAAACCTTGTGAAGTGCTTTGAGATGTCTCAATGAGATAATAAGATGCTATGCCAAATGCAAGGTTTATTAAATTATTAAATGCATTATATACCAAATGCAAGGTTTATTATATTATTAAATGGTCTGGAAATGTTTCCTGACACCTTCTCCAGAACCATCCACAACAGTGGCATATACCCCAAGCTAACACTACTCAGGGGACCTGTACGCTTTTTCCTTGATCTTTCTTTGCAAGACAATCAAGCAAAATAGAATAAAGTAACTGAGAGCATAAATAATCAGCCCATAACCCACATAAAATCCACCATGTTGCCTCCTCCACACCCAATTGGTTTTGAAGCTGGCCCAGGCCTTGGCTTTGCATTTCTGGACCACCAAGCATTCCGGTTTAACTCAAAAAAAGGTTAATTTGTATCCTGTTAGGATGATTATATCACTGAAAAAAAAAGCATAATTTCATGATTAACGTGTTTTTATTTTTAGCCTTTATCATTACCTTGGCTGCGGACAACTGTGGAAGCTCGAACATGTTTAAGGTACTTTTGCTTCAAGGCCTTTTTGATCTCTGCAACCTGGGCATTGTAAGGTGTAATAATGGCAACTTCTTCCTCAAGTGCTTTACCTTTTCGAATGAGATCTTCTGCATATTTCACCTGAATGAAAAAAATATCCTATTATATCTCTCCCTACAATCACAATTCATTACCCTCGCTATGGAGTCCTATAGCTCAGTGGTTAGAGCACTCGCCTCACAAGTGAGACGACCTGGGTTCTATTCACGGCAGGGTGAAATGTTGGACAAGTTTCCTTACTCCACACGCCTGCGTTTACCTAGCAGTAAGTAGGAAACTGGTTGTTTGTCGATTGGCGGATCGCTTTTCCGGGGATAATAATCCTTCAAAAAAGACCCAATAATAAATTGGTCACTCAATCCACAACTGTTGTGCACAATTGGCTGCTGGCTTTCGCCCGTAAATATACAGTCAATTCACTTTACAGTATGTCCTGTGAAGCGCTTTGAGACGTCCAGAAGATATCTAGAAGGCGCTATATTAAATGCAAGTATTATTATTATAAGTTACAATAGCTGGCTACTAAATGAGAACTAGATCCAGGTCAGCATATTATTTTCTCTTTTTAAATTATATTTCATTGAAAATACTTCTAGTTTCTTGTTGCTGCTGACAAAACTGGTAGATAGATTGCAACGGATAAGCTAGCAGCAGTTTTGACTTGATAGACCAAATAGCTTCTTCCTATCCTGTATTTCCTATCTTGTAATTCCTGTAATTTCTAGATCACAAGAGAGATCCAGGTAATAAAGGGCCAGAAGCCATTGGCCCCTCTTTACCTGGATTCCATTATTTATTTAGGCTACTGTTGGTTTCTTAACTCCATAACTGTGATGTTAGAGACGTGGGCTCTATGTTTAGCTTCCTCTTCACTTTAGGATCATGCCACAACACCATATGTGATAATGATGGTATGTAGCTTCAGTGGAGGTGCTTAATAATAATAATCCTTGCATTTGATGATAATTATCATTATCATTAATATTGCATGTTAGGCGCTACACAAATATAATTTTGTTGTTGTAATGATAATAATAATGATCCAAAAAGTACCTTTCTGTGGTGTAACTTCTATGAATCTGCCTTATAACAGGTTATACGGTTGTATAGTGCTGCATATTTGCAACAGAATTATTTTAATATTACGGTATTTTGTTCACGTGATATATGGATCCCTGACTATCCAGCGCCTTGTGATGTCCTCCTAATGTGAAAGGAGGTATACAACTGATTTATTGTTGTTGTTATATTCCCTAATGAACTGGATTGAGAGACATCAGCACTGTGTACAAATTGCTGATATCCAATGGAGAAATATAATTGCAACAAATTAAGAAAAAGTTACAATAACAGAAACAAGTTGTTCCACTTTAAAGACTTTTTCAATCTTACAGCATATGTTACTTCTGTGCTATTGGCCCTGGATTTTTCATTCCCTTCTTCAGACATCACATAAAGAAATGTTTCTTTGCCTTCAGTGTGACAAAACATAATTGGACAGTCCGTCTCATGTGGATGCTTCTGTTTGCCAGGTGTCCGATGATAAACTACTTCTGCAGTCTTAAGTTTTCCATGATAAAATTCTTGAGATGGAAAACTGCAGATAGCTGGGTGCTAAGAAGAAACAATTAATTATTGCCAATGAACTGATTAGCAAGCACTTGATTCACAATCTTCCAGTTTACTCCACACATTTTTGGACCTGTGTATTTGTTTATTTTCAAAATTACCAAAACTGCAACATACAAATTGCATTCTCAGTCTTGTCTAAAATACAGAACATATTCCACATGCTCTTCAATAAACCTTTAGTCAAATGCATTTATAACTTTTAATATTTATACTTTACACTATACCACAATTAATCCAAATACAGTGTGGATTAGAATTTCAGTGAAATTCACTATATCTCTTTGATGTATGCACCAATGTAGTTAGCTTTAAAGATGACAATGTTTTGTACCTTAATATGTCATTATAATGATGAACTCTCTACATACCATTCGATACTGAATATTTAGCATCAATGCTTCTGAAGCATATCGCTCGAATATTGATATTCCCAGGCCAAGATCTTCAGCCAATCTACTTTTCACAATTGGTCTCAACTGTTTGTGGTCCCCAATTAGAACAACCTACAATAAATAAATAAAGAATTGAATGCTGGTAAAAATAAAGCATACACTTTAAAGACCTTATCAATCTATCAATATGTCATCCCGAATATTTAACCTCTATGAATCCTGTTACAGTTCCTAAATTTTAGACTGCAGAATGTAGAATTAGGATAAATAATTTACAAGAGTGGATTAAATTGGCAATACCTTAAGGCTGTGGAATAGTTCAGATGAGAGCAGTTAAACAAGTACATTCGACCATGAGTTAGTTGGGTAGCCACTTCAATGTCATGTAATGTTAAGGCTGGCTGGAATACACACCTGCTTTGCATTTGAGGATGCAATAGGAATCAGACTCTCTGGCTCTGTGCACATTCCACTTTCATCCACAATGCACATGAAGATGTTTGTGTTGACTATTATGAGTGATCGAGCAGCAGTTGTGCATGTACATAAGATAACTTGGTGCTTTTTTAGTTCTTCGACTTGTGCTTTGTAAACAAGCTGCTTGTATCTGTAAGAAAACAAGTCACGCATCGGCATTTTGAATTTCAATACAAGTCTATTAAACCTTGGTGCTTTACAGAATGTCCAGTTATCCTCAACCGATTAATCCTTTAATAATACCCCAGTTTTGGTGGCCTCGGTGTGTGGCCACCACTCATACTGGTGACCTCAGTGTGACATTTTGTAATCTGCATTACTTCCCGCCTTCTTGATCCAACGCGGAGAGGGAGGGAGAGAGCGCGCAGATGTCACTGGCAGTACAGAAAACAAAGGGATTTAACTTACTCCATGCAAGTCTTTCTTCTTGCTTCAGGATACTTAAATTTATTCTTCTTCAGTCGTATGTAAAGTCTGTTTATTTGTTCAGCGTTAGGGTTTGTTTTGGGATCCCTGATTTTGAAATGCAAGGCAACGGACCTGTAAAGCACAATCATTACCACTTAAAGAATACTCAAATGGCTGAATAATATTAAGTGATAACTGGATATATTAAATCAGGGTGGTCCAACTGGCGGCCCACGGGCTGAAAGGGGCCAGTGGGATGATTTCATCTGGCCCACAATCCATTTCCAACTTCATTGTCCGACAAGCAAATACAAGTGATACACAGGCCTCGAGCCAATTAGGACACTGTCCCCGGGACCTCAGGCTCTGCCCAACAACAAGACTGAACTATTAGGATAAAATATTACTTATGGGGCACCAGATGTTTTTTAAATTCGGCATCTGGCCCTCAGCAGCCAAAAGATTGGACCACTCTGTGTTAAATTAATCATTGTATAGTATGTGTAATATGGGGCTTCTATATCAAAATGCAAGGATTATTATGAATATGGTGAAATCACAGCTTGCTATTGCTGGCTAAAATGCACATGGAAAAAAAGGTCAAACATAGCAGGGATTTTAAATTAGCATGACAATGTCTGTGGGAGGTCAGCATTTTTCTTTCTCGGTGACCATTCCCTGCAATGAACCAAAATAAAACCTAAATGATTTCCCTACTATTTCATTTAATCAACAATGTTTAACTGACTCTAATAATATCGCGTGATGAGGCGCTATATCAAATGCAAGGATTATTATTAATGTAAAATGTTCAAATATTTAATTTGCATCTACTGTACCTAGAACAGACCTATACAGACTGATGGGAGGAATTTTGGTCTGTTATGTCTATGCTTTTGTGGAGTCCTGTAGCTCAGTGGTTAGAGCACTCGCTTTGCAAGCGAGAGACCTGAGTTCAATTCCAGGCAGGAAGAAACCTTGGGCAAGGTTCCTTACTCCACACGCCTAATAATAATCCCTCCAAAATAAAAGACAATAATAAAAATTGGTCATTTTCAATCTACGACTGTTTGTGGGACATTGCTGTGCGCAATTGGCTGCCGCGTTCGCCCACAAATATACAGTCAATTCACTTTACAGTGTGTTCTGTGAAGCGCTTTGGGACGTCCTCCCGATGTGAAAAACGCTATATCAAATGCAAGGATTATTATTATTATTATTATGCTGATTTTCATTCCGGTTTAGAGCTATCTATTCTAATCTCATTCCCCTTCTCCTTTTTTGTACATTTTAATATAATTTTTCCTCTTAACTAAGTACATACAGGGCGAACCCTGTTGCACCTCAGTTGAACATGAGTTTGCTTATAGCTTGGATCTTCTGTGAACCCATGCTATACTGGAAGCAGAGTACACCTAGCTCCAGCAGTATTAGCCGGTTTCCGGGTTGTCAGGTTACCACTGATGTCTCTCTCTCCATGTTGTGAGTTATGTGTAGGAGGCTTAGCTGATGCCACTTCCTGCACGCTGCACATATGCACTGCAAAATAAATTGTCTGGTGTTTCTGGAGCTTGGAGCACAAGCGGAGGTTATGGTGACCAGATGCCCCAGAAGTCAGCCATTTTCCATGCTCCTTTTTAACACTATTAAAACCTACTTAAAATAGGAACTTTTAATTTCAAATAAGAACTGGGCTTAAAAATATTCAAAACAAACACTGGTAAAATGCTTTTTGTGAGCCATATGATTTCAAGTCTGGTTTACTACACTGTGATTGAATTTACATAACAGGAAAAAGTGAGTGATTCATTTGTGCATAACATGGAGTCCTGCCAGTGGTTAGAGCACTCGCCTCGCAAGTGAGAGACCTGGGTTTGTTCCCTGGCAGGACAAAACACTGGGCAAGTTTCCTTAATCAACACACCTCTGTTTACCTAGCAGTAAGTAGGAACCCAGTTGTTAGTCGATTGGCAGATCGACTCGAAGACGTGATAAGGCGCTATATCAAATGCAAGATTATTATTTATTATAACTTATTTCTGATTATCTGGTGAGCAACAGATAAGAATTAGCTAGCGTCAATAAATTAAGTGGTTACTTCAAACATTCTTTGATGCCGGAATCCCTTTTTGCTTCTTTAGATATCAGCACATCTTCCAATGGGAACGCAAGGTGTTCAATCTGTTCCCCATACACCCGGAGAATGGACAGGCTACAGTTTGCCTTCAGTAGGGTCTCTGAATAAAAATAAATACAAACTACTAGTACCAAAACAGCAAATGCATTTCAGAAAATAATGCCTTAGGATTACTTATTATTTTACCTGTTACAACGTCAACAGATTTGTTTGATGGTCCACAGTACAGGATCTGCCTGGGATCATTTCCTCCTATTTTGTAACCTATTACATTTCTCAAATGTTTGGATTTAATTGGTTGAGCCCTGTGTGTCTGGTTGCGTTTGACACAATTTAGAACAATATAGGCTCCAGTTATGGTTTTCCCCGTTCCTGTTAAATATAGAAATGCATATTTGTTAACTATTTGTTTAATAAAATATAGGAAAGAACAATTAATATTGACATTTTTCTCAAAGATTTTATAAAATATCTATCTTTTGTGTTTGGCAAATATTTTGCTTAATTACAAAGACACACTGTGATGGTGTAAAGCACATTTACAGACATCATTGCATTACTTCTGTAATACAGGAATTCTTAAAGCTCTTTATTTCCACAGCAGTGTTTTGCCAAAAGGACACAGGACAATGGTCCTTTAAGATTCAGGCTGACATTTGTACTTGTATAAGACAACATCTTTCCCGATGTGAAAGGCGCTATATAATTGTAATTTGTTTGTTTTAGGCTGCAAATATGCACGAATACCATAACGTTAAGCAATGAAATAGTCTTACCTGGTGGCCCTTGAATCACACTGAATTCTGAATTTAAAGCTATCATCACTGCTTTGCTTTGGGTTTGGTTCAATTCTGGTAATCCTGGAATGTTCCATTCCATTTGACATTTTGGAGTTCTTCTAATTTCTGTTGAAATATACTAACTGCATAAATATTACTTTAAACATATTAAAAATACTGGACAAAAACATGCTGTTCATCAGAATCAGCAGACGTTTCATTCCTCACTTGTAATGGGATTTTCACTTATAAGAATAGAACAAAATATTAACTAGATTTTGAACCATCAAACAGTATGCTTTCAGCTTTCAGTAAAATAGGTTGGTCTACTTTAGTAGAAAAAAAACTTTCTTCAGCTTAACTGTACATCTCAAGGAAATTTTTATATATATTAATGAATATATATTAAAATTTCCTTGAGATGTACAATTAAGTTAAAGAACCTTTTTTGACGGCATCATTTGAGTTTTCAACTGTTAGATAAACAAAACCAATTTTATAAATAAGCAGGTAAGTTGTTAATGAAAAGGATTGTACCACATACCTGGGTTTGATGAAAAGTCTTTTAGTGCTATGCTTCTGGCAAGATTTTTATTCTCTTCTAGTGACCTAATGGTGTCAATTTTTCTTCTAATAAGTGGTAGAACAAGTTTATGTTAGTTTTTTGCATGAATCAGAGAAATCATTTGCAAGTTTTCTTCCTGAACTGGAAAGTGATTGTAATCTCCATTACACTTTGTTTTCAATGCTATTACAAAAATTGTACTGTTTAACTTTTAAAATGACAAAACAATGCACATTATATAAAACATAACAAAGAGCAATTTAAAGGCTGCGTGCAACCTGTTCTTCAGGTTGCATGCAGCCTTTAAACATAACGAACGACAACAACAAATTACATTTGTATAGAGCCTTTCTTGTCAAGAGGACGTCCCAAAGTGCTGGACCGTCAGAGATCCACACCCGAGCAGGTAGGTTGGGATGAAGAGGGATGGAGTGAGGGGTAAGTAGGAGAAGGAGGGTGTCCAATAAAAGAGTTTCACCAGTGTCCTAATACTCAGCGCCTTGGGATATCCTCCCGACAGGAAAGGCGCTATACAAATGTAATTTGTTGTTGTTGTTTTTGTGGCTGAAAAGCAGTCTTTACTGAAAATACAGTAGTTACTTAAAAATTGTTCTGAGATATTTTGAGAATGTAAGATACTGCTCGCGTAATAAAACAATACAAGTTCTTCATTTTTTATGTTGTAACCTAATCTCGGAGAGCAGATGCCTTGTACAAATAATAATTTAGTGATTTGGCCTTTATGTTAATTCAGATGTTATGTTAAGTTGATGATCCAACTATTCAATCTCAATCATTTTTCCCTATGGTATTCTCAATAGGTTTATCTTCACTGATCTCATATCTTCCTTCAACAAGACAACACTAGAGTAAACCTGGATCTAAGAAAATGTAACTAAGGAGGGGTGAACAAGCTGTCTACACATTGCCTATTCATACATTAGAAGTGAATAAAATGGTTTGTTTTAGAGGTTAAATATTTGAAACATACCTGTCAGGAACACTCCGTGATATGATCTCAATTGTAGATGGCTGATTCAATACATATACATGAGGAGGAGCTTCCGATGCACAGTGATGTAATTGAAATGTCACTTCTCGGTAAGAATATCCCTCTTTAAAAGCAGTGATGACACAATGTGCAACCCATGTTGACTCATTAGGGTTAATATCAACTAGTAATGCAGATTTTTCTTTTGATTCGTTCAATGCATATGAATGCCGGATGCAAACTAAATCACCTATCTCTAGTTTGTCTATGTCAGTGTAGCGACTGTCAATCTTGAAGCTCCCAGATGAAGGTGAACCCTCAACCCAATATGTTTCCACATTGAGGAACACCATTGGGTCATTTTGCATAACAGAATTTACAGCGGCCTCAATTTCAATAACTGGAATCCATCTCTCAATGTAATCTTTTATGTTGATGAAATTTGCCCCTTTGACTTCACCACAATCAGTCTTTGTGAAGCACAATTCTGGATCTCGAGCGTGTTCAATGCAAATGTCTACTTGCTTGTTCAAGTAAACCACCTGTAAGTTCGGTTTCAGCAAGCCACGGTACATGGTTGGTCCCTGTTGCATTTTTATCACACTGCCATTCTTAAGTGTCATTGACAACAACTGATAATCTTGTTCAGACTGTTTTGGTGTCAGTTTTTGACTTTTCACACTTTGCTGGGAACGAGCTTTGTTTTGTATGTGATTCTCTTCCTCTAAGAGTTTTGTAACTCTGCTGTGATCATTTTTGCCAATTGCTTTCTGCAATGCAATCCATTTCTCAGTCTGTATGCTGACAGAGTGTGCAGCACTGTCTACAACAGTGACAGCAGAAGGAAATATGGCACTCTTATTTGGACAGAAGAACCTTCTCCTCCATTTTAAGGTTAGCGAATCATCCTTAAATTCAGGTTGCTGGTCAAGTCCCAACGATCCAAAAAGTAAAGGAGTTGAGTTCATGTTTTCAAACCGTTGATCCAGAAAAAAAACACTTAGACTGGACTTTCCTTCTTGTACATTAAAAAGAACAGCCAGTTGCTGTCTAGGATTTTTCTGCAGTTCCTCTGCTTCTTCCAACTGTTCCGACTGTGAGGAATATTTTTTGCTGTCCTCAGTTTTGAGGTTGAAATGTCGGCAAATATCATCAATCTCTTCAGCAGTATAAGGAGATTCACTCTTGTTCAACACAACTGACTCCAAAAGTCGATGCACCACAATATCCATATACCGTCTTATTGGTGACGTGAACCAAGTATACGCTTCTACTCTCAAAGAGCAATGATGATTTGCATCATCACCACATCTCATACCTGCACGAATCATGCAGGCTTTCTTCCAAAAGAATTTCTCAGTCTCTAGGGCAGCTGCCAGCTGGGGGTGGAGCTTTTCACAAAAGAGCAGGGCTTTCATTTTATCATAACGATGACATTGTTGGAACTCAATAAGCTTTCTCCACACAGGTTCCAGAATAAATACTTCTTTAAGTGAGGTGCTACATGAAGGCTGGTTTGCGCCAGACATGGTATGTTCTATGCGGGATCTTAGATATGGAGATATTGGTAAGATTGGCTTCACAACATTTTGGAAAGCAGACAACTTTGAAGAATTAGGTTTTGGTTGAATACGAAGTGGAGTGAGATTTTTGGTTGTTTCATTTCTCAGCAATATTTCTGCCACTGTTCTGTTGGCTAAAATCATAAGTTCCTCAATCATACCACGTGATCTGTGTTCATCGCGAATTGTATTAAAGAGACTGACTAGATGCCAACCTTCTTTCAAACGTTCTTCTCTAAGACGATCTGCAAAGCTGACTACGATATTCATACATCCTTCGAAGCTGGTGGCATTCAGTATCTTGGGTGACTGAGCAAGAAGCTCTGCAGCTTCTTTGTATGTAAAGGCACGTTTGGAAATGATCACAGTCCTTTCTATTGTTGGCTTTTCAACTATTTTGAAATTTCTTTTGTCTACAGAAAACAGAACTGCAAATGCACATCTCACTGAATCTGGCAGTAAACTGCAGTGCACCTCACTGAGCTCTTTTGGCAGCATGTGAATTGGTTCACCTTTATGGCAAGGTGAATAGAAAGAGGTTGCACGATTCTTGGCTTCAACGTCAACATCGCCATCTTTTTGTAAAAAAGCTGCGACATCAGCAATATGAATACCTATTTCATATTTTCCATCTAGCTCACGGACACTGATGGCATCATCGATGTCTTTGGAACCCTTATCATCAATTGTGAAAACGCAGTCCTTTGTATAATCCTTTCTTCCTTCCCTTGAAGGCTGCTGGAGGGATTCTGTGCAAGGGAATATGTTTCCATTTAAGTCATACTGGATTTGTAAAATATTCATTCCATTTTTCTTGTTGTTTCCCAGCTGTATCTCTTCTGTGACAATACCCAGAGGGTAAATGCAATGTGGAAGCCATTTGAGATATTTGACAGTGAAAAGCTTGTTTCTCCTGTTACTTACTGGTACAGATTCAAATCTGTTTAGTGTCCGCTTTGACTGTGAAGAATTAACGTCCCAGATACATATATGATTTGGGGGTTGGTTCATTTTGGTCAGGTTTTGTATCTTAACCATTAATCTGTTTATCGGAATCATTATCTTACAGTCATAAGGGTCAATGCAGCAAATGATGTTCTTAAGCTTTCCAATCTCTCTCTTTGTGACTCCAATGACCTTACCATGAATATCATCCTCATGCTTTTCTGTTATCCGCACCACAACTTCCTCTCCAGGAAAAGCTGTTCCACAGTTAATCCTGCCATTTACCATAATGTCACCTGTTCCATCGACAGGGCAAGCTATTCCACACTCGTGTGATTTCATCCACAATTGACAACGTTTGTATGTTTCAGGCTCTTTGTTCAGCATTTCTTTTAATTTTTCTGGGCTTTGTACTTCATACTTCTTCCAATTATCTCTCTTGATATAGCTGGGTGCACGTGCATCCTGGTCCGTTACTCTTCCATGACAAGCCAATTCCACCATTCCTTCTTCTGTAACTTGTTGAAATATTCTTTCAATGAAGACTTGATTGTTTTCATCTGAAGGGCGTGCCTCATTTTGAAAGATATCATTCAGCAAAGCATCCAGTATACGATCACTTCTTTCTTCATCGTTGTGGCAATCCTGGTTACCATTACTGTTGCCAGCAATTTGTTCAGANTTTTTCTGCTGTTCATTCATAATGTTTTGTTTTACATCCTCCACACTCAGGTCTGGCGATGTAAGGCTATGATTTTGAATGCATTCATTTAGAAACATTTCCCACACTTGTTTGCAGTCTCCAGTGGAGCATAAAGCTAATGCATCTCCAACAACTGTAATGAGTGATTTTGCTCTACTCATGGCTGTGTTCAGAAAACAGATGTCACTGAAGAATCCGTTCTTGGTATTTTCAGCTCTTCTCACTGTGCTAATAAAGACAGCTCTGAACTGCTTGCCTAAAAATAACCAAAAAGAATCTATGGTAAAAAGCATATTGTTTTGACTTTGTCATCAAACCAGTTAAGAACTGGTATTATTAATAATAGTAATACTAATCCTTGCATTTGATATAGCATTTTTCACGTCTTCTGGACGTTTCAAAGCGCTTCACAGAATATATTGTAAAGTGAATTGACTGTATATTTTGTGGGCTAAACGCGACAGCCAATTGCACACAGCAATGTTCCACAGACAGTCATGGATTGAAGTGACCAATTTATTATTGTGGTTTTTTTTCTTGAGGGATTATTATAAGGCATGTGGAATAAGGAAACTTGCCCAAAGTTTTGCCCTGCTGGGAATCGAACCCAGATCTCTCGCTTGTGAGGCAAGTGCTCTAAACACTGAGCTACAGGACTCCAATTAGTGCAGGAATTACAAGAAAATATCCTAATGTATTCTACTGTGGTTAGCATTGAAAAATACCTCTATATGCCAATACTAGTATTTAATCTTTAATAAGATGCTTTTACAAAGATTTGCATAGATTGTACAGCACGGAAACAGGCCATTTGGCCCAGCCATTCTGTGATGATGGTGTTTATACTTCATATGAGCCTGCACTCACTCATTTCTCCCTTCCATGCCCTTCTACTCCCTTCTGTCTAGATCTAACTTTACCTTCCAGGTATACATCCGGGACTTATGAGGTGGTCCCCATTTGTGTAACTTGAATTTGCTAATAAGAAACCCAAATAAGCAATTTAGGCAGAGAAATTCCACCTGAGTTCAAGATGAAATCTATTGTTTGTAAGTTTGTATTGTTTTGTAATTGTGTGTACTTATCTAGATTTTCAGTACATCATACAGTGAATTTATGAGATCTAAGTTTTAACATACACCTAAAAGAAAAGTAACTAACCTTGAATATTATTGATCTTGTCAACACAAATCTTTTCCAATTTTTCACTTCGGAACAAACCTCTTAGCATAAGTACCTGAAACAAAGTAATGTTAATAATCATTTATTACACAACAGTAATCTCATTTCCCATTATAGTACCCTTCACCATTATAATCTGAAATGCATTTCAGTCTTTAAAATAATTAATAATAATCATAAACCTATTCTAAATGAAATTTGGCAGCAGGGTCCAATTTATAATGTTAATAATAATAATAATCCTTGCATTTAATATCGTGCTTTTCACGTCTTCCAGACGTCTCAAAGCGCTTCACAGAATATACCGTAAAAAGTGAATTAATTGTAGATTTGTTGGCAAAATGCGTCAGCCAATTGTGCACAGCAGTGTCCCACAAACAGTCATGGATTGAAGTGACCAATTTATATTGTTTTTTTCTTGAGGGATTATCGTGTGCAGTAAGGAAACTTGCCCAAGGTTTCACCCTGCCGGGACTCAAACCCAGGTACCTCGCTTGTGAGGCAAGTGCTCTAATCACTGAACCAAAAACAATAATAAATTGGTCATTTTCAATCTACGACTGTATGTGGGACATTGCTGTGCGCAATTGGCTGCCGCGTTCGCCCACAAATATACAGTCAATTCACTTTGCAGTGTGTTCTGTGAAGCATGAAAAGCGCTATATCAAATTGCAAGGATTATTATTATTTTTGGGGGGGACTTTGCTGAATTGTAAATTTTAGTTTACCGAATTCAAATTTTGCCGCGAATTTTGTAAACAGTAAGTCTCAAAATACTGAACAGATGCTACAATTAACGCAGCTTGTAAATATCGTAAATTAGACACGTTTTAACTGTTTGAATAAGATAATTATTGATTATAAAGCATCTTTACACTTTCTGGTCACAGTAAATCATAGAGAAGTTGAAGGCTGTTAATTTACCTGTTCATAATCATCACACAGGACCGCTATATGTTTTTCCTTTTCTTGCTCCCACTGGGGTGGCCAGGACTGAAGCAGTGCTTGAACTTTCTGAACGACATGCTTAGTTTCTGTTACATTGCGCCAGGAAGATGTTATCAGCCCTTTTTCACACACACCTTCAATGTGGCAGAATGCGAGTGGGTAAATACTGGGGTGTTTTAACTCATTCCCTACTGCCTTGATCAGGCCAGAGTATTTCACTCCATAGATGTTCTTTATGAGGAAATTTGTAATTTCATGAACAGATCTGTAGTTTTCATGCAGTACTATTGTACTATAACTCAATTGACCATAGTGCTCAAATAATCTGTGTATCAAACTCTGAAAACAAAATACAGACTTCTTGGAGAACAGCTTTGGTGCGATCTGAAAGTGGTCACCAGCAACAACCACCTTAGTGTTCCCATCCGCCATCAGGAGAGGGATTAAAGTTTCACCTTCAAGTGCCTGAGCAGCTTCATCAAGTAGAATGTGTGTGAAACGCACATCTGGGGCCCTTTTATGAAGGACGTAGGCAGTGCTGAAAGTTGTAATTATAAGACGGTACTGTTCTACCTGATGTTTAGTTGGGTATACAAACTGGTGACTTTCTGAGATCAGGCAGAACTGACGCACAATGGGATCCACCGTATTTATTCTGCGATTTTCGTAGTAAACTCGAAGTGGTTTCCACTGTGTCAACTCAGACTGGTATTCTTGTATGTAGAGATCGGCAGCACTAAGAAAAGAAGATATTTTTAGCATTATAAAATAATAATTCTAGACAAGCCAATGGATCAGAAATTTTCACCAGTGACTTGCTCAGCCATACCTCACAACAACAACAACAAAATTACATTTGTAAAGCGCCTTTCACAGGACAATGAATATCTGTGGACTTCCTTTCTATTGGCCCTCCCGCACCTATGATACTAACTTTATATCACCCTGTCCGCTCCCTCTGCTCAACAGGCTCCAGCCTGCTCCACATCCCCCACATGGTCAGCCCAACCATCGGTGGTGAGGCCTTCTGCCCCCACCATTTGGAGGCACATCTCAAGACCTTCCTCTTTGACCGTGCCTTAGGTCACCCTCCTACTCCTACACTTCCTACCCTCCACCCCTCCTGATTCCAACCACCTGCTTCAGTCCAAATCCCTGACTGTCCAGCACCTTGGGACGTTCTTCCAACGTGAAAGGCGCTATACAAATGCAATTTGTTGTTATTATGATACACCTTCCCACTTCCAGAGTTATGATCATGTCCCCAACTACTCCAGCAGCTCCCTACCCAAAAGCAAGCTGCTGAAATCCCCTCCCACCCTCAGCTCCCAATGAGATCCACAATTTACTAAGTCCTGACATCTATTGCTGTGGAACCGCAAACTTGGATCTCCACCAAAATGCACAAAGCAACATAAACTCCTCGATCAGTGATCATGCGTGTTTATATCTGCAACTCTGTAACTCCCCTATTACAGCCCAAGATTGTATGAAAACTTTCATGAAGTCAATAAAAAAGGTATGTCTTTCAATGGTTGGCTCAAGAGCATCCTTAGCAGAGCTTTTCTGTAATGCTGTGCAAAGTAATGCAATATAAAACAATGCTGGGTGGGTGGCCTGGCTGGTTCGAAAAACTGCTTTATTGGTATTGCTGTATTTGTGCAAAAAAAAGCAAAGAATTGTTATTGAAAGATGCTCCAGGAAAAAAATAATTACGCCACAGATCCTACCTGTTGGTGTGTGTGCAAAGAAGGACATTTGCATGCCTTTCCTTTAATATCTCAACCAGAGCACTATTGAGAGTGAATGTCTTTCCAGTACCAAATGGTCCACAAAGAAGTAACGGAGGTTCTTGCTTTCCAATCGCATTGCCTTGCATGGTGTACGCCAGGACTCTTCCCTGTTTTTCATTTAAATTGTTGGTGCCATGGAATGTCAGATTTTGAGGAGGCGAATATTCCTGATTTCGTGGGGTAATCACCTGAAGATTTATATTGTCCACAGCGTAGTGCATTCTGCAGAAGTGAACCCGATCAACCTGAAACTGGATTTCCATTTTGTATTGCATAGGTTCTGAGATATTCAATCTCTTAACTACACTTTCTGGAATAATTACACATATTTGTTCATCGGAAAGAGTCTCTTTCAAAACAAATACTTCATACACTGTCTGAAGGCTCCCCTCAAGCCCTATAAGGGCTGTGTTCACATTGTGCAACAAAATATCTTTTGCATCAGAATCCAATTGTTTCGGTGCTGGAAATTGGCCAAAATAATGACCCGGCTCTGCACAGTGTAAAGCTTGTTTTGTGGTTATGTGCTTCTTCATTTCAACATCAACACACATTTTCACTCTGCAAATTAAATGGGCAAATTTATTATAATAATAATAATCCTTGCATTTGATATAGCACCTTATCATGTCATCAAAAACATCTCAAAGTGCTTCACAGGATTTATTGTAATATGGAATTATTGTGTTTTTGTAGATGAACGATTGGCATTTTTAGAGCGACTTTATCACTTTGAAACTACTCAAGAGTATATCACAGTTAAAGTTACATAGGTTACAAATGCTACGATGTACCTTTCCATTGTGTTTTTTTGACATTGTTCTTCTTGGTACAGAAAATTGTGCATTGTACTTCTGTAATTCTGAGAGTTCAAGGATGTTGGTAGAAACTCCTGATGAAGATTGGTAAAATCAAAAGCCATTTCAGGGCTTTTATATCTTAGAAGCAGCTCATGATCCATATTCAGACGTACAGTGTTTCTCACAATCTCCATCTTTGAACGATCCCAGTTGGATGACAAAGATGGTTTCTTTTCTTTTTTTGCTTCATCCATGCGGCTCCTGTCAGTAACTATAACCCTTATTTTCTGGACAAGGAGAGGGCGTTTTCCAAAGTCAAACGTCACCCACTGGTCAAACACTCCACAGATTTTACTGGAAAAGTACACTTCGATGGAGCGTACATATTTTTGCAATGGGCCATCAGAAGGAAACAATGGCTGTGTTTTGGTTTGTTCATAAACAGACCCGTCTCTTTTCAATGAAAATTCCTTTCCTCTTTTAAGTAATGCAATGGTGTAACATGGTTGCCTTTTCTAAAAGATAAAAGGAGACATTATAATCTGAATTTCATCTAAAACAAATAGAATTGCGGTATTATTAGTGGGGTCTTGTTGATTTCATAGCAAATAATAAATGACTATTTTGTTGTTGTATTGAAAATAAAAAATGAGAACATTTAATTTTAGTGGTTAATAACCACATGGCACATTTCAGAATGTACTGAAAGCTACATCCATTAAAGATACAGTATGGAGTTGCGACCAGTGTGACAGTGGGTTTGAAAATGTGGTTGGTATTTGTTGCCTCGATTCACAATTAGTGACTTGAAGTTGCAAACAGCGCTGACTGCTCCTAACCAGAGGTCCATCACACCAACTTGTGGGAACTTCCTGATCTACTTCAGAGTTCAAAAGGGTAGTCACGAGAGAGATTTTCAGTTACCAGCACAATTATTATTTGGAAATCTACCCATCTAATGCTGCATTCGCTTTTATTGCATTCTTATGAATGACTTCTGCTAATCTAACTTAAAGATAATATGATTAAATTGTTTCTTCTGATAAATTTGGGTGCTCTGTTGACTGGAACTCCATCCCCCAGTGCCTTCGCCTTGCTTCCTCCCTTTCCTCCTTCAAGGCCGGTCTCAAGACCTTTCTCTTCAACCATGCCTTCAGCTGCCCTCTCGACTCTCTACCCCCTCCTCGCTCCCTCCCTTCCCTCCCCTCACCCTGACCATTTCCCCCCTGCTTGGGTCCCGACCCAACTGTCCAACGCCTTGGAACGTCCTCCCGACGTGAAAGGTGCTCTATAAATACAATCTTGTTGTTGTTATTGTTGTAATAATATTTTAAATTCAAATTATACACTGGTGACAGTTTGACAGTACAATAGTTATGGAAACACTATTTTATCTAGGATACTTTCAAAGCAATTTATAACTTTCTATGCGATACAGATTTTGCATAAAACATCTTAAAAGGTGAAAGTATTTTTGCAATATTCATACCGATATTACTTCGAATTTCCACTCATGTTGTCGGCTCTTTTCTGTACATATTTCCAACTCTTCAGTACAATGTACACTGGCATCCTCTACAGTTTCATTCAGCTGAACAGAATAAGAAGTTTATTTCTTTATTAAAATGGCAAAAATGCATAACTGTTTGGAAATGAAGGTTGTAGTGGTGCTTAACCCAGATTGCATTCTGGCAAATTACACCTGAGTATCAATCTGCTGTATCTTTGAGTACTAATGTGGAAGCTCAAACCCTATAATTTCCCATCCATTGCTAATCGCCATTGCTAATCTTGGCCCTTTACAAAGAGAAGATGCCATATATATGTAAATTTGTTGTTGAAGCAAATCACCAATTCATCTAGAGGATTATTGTCCAAAACACCAGGAAAAACTCCCTTCTCTTTTCAAATACGGTTATGCATTTGGACCTTTATTGCTTGGTGTTAGGACCTCAGTTTAACATTTCATCCATAGGACAGCACCACTGACAATGTCACATTCCACTGGAGCATCAGCTGAAACTGTGAGCTCGATGTCGTGAAGTATGGCTTGAACCCACAACCTCCTGACTCAGAGGTATAAAGCTCTATTAATTGAGTCAAGCTGACACCAGCCACAGAAAAGTGAAAGGGCCCATACCACATCATATCCGTGTTCACTGCTGTGGTATTCATGCATTATATTCAGGATGTAAGAATTCCCTCCTTCATTTGTTTTCTGTTCAAATCTAAAACGCTGAATCCATTCTTCGAGTTCTTCTTTCGAATGTGCATAACAACAGCTCACTTTACATTTACAATCCTCTGGCAAACTGGTAAAATACAAATGAGTTTTCAGGCAATTATGAGCTTTTCTTTTGTGTGTTAAAAAAAAGCTGGAAGAACTCTGTATTTAAACGTATTAGGAATATGGCATGTTTAAACACAGATTCTCTCTGGCAGCCTAGTGGGTAAAGACACTAGGTTCAAATCCCAGTTGGTGTTTACTGTGTTAGTTAGGGCTGACACATAAATTGAACATTATTTTACACATAACAAGATCCTTCACTTTATCCTCCATTTCACCTCTTCAAATATTTTTTCCTCTTTTCATTCCTTCAACTCTTGAACCTTGTTGACTAGTACAGGAATGGGTGGAGACTCATGTGGGATAAAATCCCGGCACAGATATGTTGGGCTGAATGTTCTGTTTCTGTGATGAACATTCTTTGTAAGTCTTTGTAGAAATGGAGTGCAATTTTCATATTACCAGTAAACAACTTGAAGATTTTTTTAACCACTGTTATTATTGACAAGAATTTTTTTGATACTTAATGGTGATCACTTTTGTAGACTTGGAAGTATAAAAGAATTTTACTTAATTTTACTCACCAAGGGCATAGGTTCAAGGCATCTTCATTTTCTGGGGGGTCCTTAAATCTCCAGTTCTCATTGATTTGAGAATGCAGTTTTGTATCATGACTCAAGCTGGCACAATGCTGTCGAAACTCCTCCTGAGATGTGCATTTCACTAAACAGAGCTTGCAATGAAACCCTGTCAGTGGAGCGATATAGTTGCTGTACTTTTGCTCTGACCTTTCAACAAGGCTTTTATCAAAACGGGCATGGCGCTGTGCCTCAGACCAAAACGAAAGCTCTACAATAGAATGTGACCATTTGCAATTTGTAGCTGTCTGCTGACATGCGTCTGAATTTCTACACAGGCCTCGGTCGTTGTACTCTGTAAATTCTCTGATCGGCTGATATTGAATGCCGTTTTCATCATTGCTTTCAATCACCTTGTGCACAAGTAAAGGATGCCACTCATGCTTCTGCTGGTTAGTGCAGACTTCCTGATTTTGAGATTTTGTGCTGAATGTAGGAGGATCTTGCAAACAGCAGGTATGGCAAAGGAATTGAAATTTACCACCAAATTCTAATAAAAATTTATCAGCTGCTGTCAGTTCCTGATAGGGAACCTTTTTAATGAAAGACTTAATTTGTGCTCGAGAAAGATTATGCTCACTTTCAAAGTTCCATACAATTTCTTCTTCTTTGCAGGAGGCGAATGTGCAATTGCGAAGCTTGCAAGGTGCTCCATTTCGAGAAGATTTACAGACAACAAACACAAAAGGAAATGGTGGACACACTCTAATATTTTTCCATACATTGTTCGTGCGTTTCTCCTTGGCTAGGAGAAAATCTTCTGCACATTCATGGCAGTCATTCAGTACTCTGTGGTACAAGCTACTGTTTTTTCTTTGGAAGCATTGGAAGCAGCCAAGGGTAAGATCTAGTTGACAGCGTAAAGAATTCAGCTCATCCAAATATACAATGCATGCATTGCTGTTATCCACACCTTTTCTCTGTTAAACAATGGAAATCTTGTTAATACATGCAACCAAACCAATACTTTTTTGTTTAAAATCATGCACAATTTCCCACATGTAAATAATGTTATAATAATTATATTATAATGTTGTTAACTGAACTGTTTNAAAATTAGAAGCTATTTAAACAAGCAACAGTCTATTGCTGCAGCTTCTGACAATAAGTTCTCTTTATGTTCATTAATTTAGATTAGTTTTGATGGGTAACCTACTGTATGCCACAAGTACCTTTTGTGGATTGTTCAGACAATAATTTTATGACAATAATAACCATTATTATTAATATTAGATTTATTTATAAATTAATAATATTGTTAGACAATAAATCTAACAGCTCAATCAACAGCCTTAGATCTCTTTCAGCTTCCTTCTTGGAAACTTTATATGAGACTGGATACTAGATTACAACCTATAGTTACAAACTTCTCCTGACATGAAAAGTATTGTATCAAATGTTAGGATTATTTTTATATAATTAGTTTTGTTTCAAAGACTTAGGAGAAGCTTGCTTTACAAACTTTATACATACATACGTCACACACACCCTGGAAAATAAAAACCTAACTGGGGTAGAGGAGCAAAGGGACCTAGGGGTAGGTATACATACACAATTCACTAAAAGTCGCAACGCGGGTTAATGAGGCCATAAAAAACCAAACCAGGCATTGGGGTTCATTTCTAGGGGGGTAGAAATAAAAAGCAGGGAAGTTATGGTAAACTTCTTTAGAACCTCGGTTAGACCACACTTAGAATACTGTGTGTAGTTCTGGTCCCCACATTATAGAAGGGATTTAGAGGCACTGGAGAAGGTGCAAAGGAGTTTCACAAGGATGATCCCAGAACTGAGAGGTTATACCTATCAGGAAAGGCTGAACATAATTGAACACTTTTCTCTTGAAAAACGAAGGGTAAGGGGTGACCTGATAGAGGTCTTTAAAATGATGAAAGGTTTTGATAGGGTAGACATAGGGAAGATGTTTCCACTTGTGGGGGAGACCAGAATCAAGGGCCATCAATATAAAATAGTCACAAATAAATCAATAGGTAAGTTAGAAGACATTTCTTCACAAAGAGAGGAGTGAGAATGGGGAACATGCTACCATAAGAAGTTGTTGAGGCAAATAGCATAGATGTATTTAAGGAGAAACTAGATAGGTACATGAGGGAGAAAGGAATAGAAGGTAATGCTTGAAGGCTTAATTGAGAAAGGGCAGGAGGAAGCTTATGTGGAGCATAAACTAATTGGGCCGAATGGCCTGTTTCTGTGCTGTATATTCTAATGTATTTGGACAATGTTGGAGTGTCCTACAATATTTCCAACAGAAGACCTGTTGCAAGTTAAGGAAATCCTTTTCTTTCCAACTACTTTCTGCAAAAACCTAAATGAGCAAATGCAGTGAGGCGTAGAAACTTCGCAGCAGCAATGTACTTACAGCAACAGATGCATAGGAATGTTTGGAATCTGGATGGATCCCATTGTGCTGGGACATAGTGTAAATTGGATATCACAGCTGGAATATAATCAGAAATACAAATCAACATATAAGCAATACAGTCCAATACAATTTACATTTATAAAGCACATTTCATGTTGGGAAAATACCTCAAAGTACTTGATACTGTTGTGGGAATGGGAGCCAAGCATTGTGGGAGGGGAGAGATGATCAAAAGCATGGTTAAAGAGATATGTTTAGAGACTGGCTTATTACAAGGTTAGGGAGAGAGACAGTCAAAGTACTCTGGGATGGAGTTCCATAGCAAGGGCACACTGGGTGAAAGTCAGCCCACCAATCGTGGGGCATTTAGGGAAGCGGACATGAAGCAGCCCAGTATTCTCTAAGTTAAATGAGCAGCTGGATCAGTACGGTGAAGGAGGACACAGAGATAGGGTGAGACCATGGAGGAATTTGAATGTGAGAACAAGGTTTTTGAAATGAATCCACTCGGGAATGGGGAGCCAATGGAGCTGAGCAAGGATGGGGGTGACAGACTCATGAATCTACAGCAGGAGAGGATATGTGCTACAGAGTCCTGGATAGTCTGCAGCCTGGATAGGGAATAGCTGGGGGGGGCCCAGTGAGCAGTGAGTTAGCGTAGGAGAGAGAAAGTGGCAGAGGCAGGAAAGGTTTGAGAGGTGAGGGAAAGCTGAGCAGAGCATGGATGGGGGGTTTTAAAGGCAGTTGGGGTAGTCAAACAAGATGCTACGGTTCCCCACCAGCTCTGCACCAGCTATGAGCTGCCTGTGAGCTGGCTGTGAGCTGCGTGTGAGATGGGTGTGGGCTGCCTGTGAGCTTGCGCTGGGCTGCCTGTGAGCTTGTGCTGGGTTGGCTGTGGACTGGCTGTGCGCGGGCTGTGCGCTGGCTGTGCACATGTGCAGTGAATGGGGGGCACACTATAACCTTGTTATAATTGAATCAATGCTATTGAGAGCACATTGTATTATAATAATCATCCTTGCATGTGATGTAGTAGTTTATCACATCATTGCAATGTATCAAAGTGCTTCACAGAAAATACTGTAAAGTGAATCAACTGTATATTTTGTGGGAGAAACGCAGCAGCCAATTCCACAAAGCAGTGTCCCACAAACAGTTGGCATTTAAGTGATCAATTTTTTTTGAAGGAATTATTACCCCTGGAAAAGCGATCCACCAATCAACTAACAAGCAGGTTCCTAATTACTGCTAGGTAAACAGGTATGTGGAGTAAGGAAGGAATCTTTTTAAAAGCTGGTGGCTTCACGAATTTCTCACTCATTATTGACCCTTCCTTCAATTAAATGATTTTAACTGTATTTGTGTTACGATTCTAAAATGTCCCAAACTCACATGAAATGGATACATTTGGTGAGTTATCTCAGTTGGATTTGGCTTCTGTTCACATAACCATCTTCTTACCATAGTGCAAGTGTGGGACATCAGTCACCTTGTTTATCTTTAACTGCTATCTATTTTACGAGGCATGAACTACGTTTGTGGTTCATCCATTGCAGTAAATGTAACATCCAGAGTGTAGCCAGTCGTTCAGAAAAAAATCTCATTTAAAAAGATCTGATGGACACTGATAGCCAGCAACCAATTCTCACCTCCGGAGAGAGATCTTATAGCCTTTTTCGAAGTACAGTTTCAATTGATTTTGAAATAAAAGTGGCGAATTAATCAATTGGGAATAACATTGCAAAAGAGCACAGACGATGATGGTAACATCAATCATATACAGAGATCATTTATAAGTTATAAGTTATTGCACTTACTACTTCTTCTGAGGCTGTCTGTTGAGATATCCACCTTCTCTTGCCTTTGCATCACATTGATGGTGAGAGCTGCAGCTCCCAACAGTAACTGGTGTTTGTTTCGGTTCAGTCTATTTAAAGCAGCCCAACTGATCGATGCTCTGTTTGGATATCGAAACTGAAACCACTTAGCTTTCGATTCATCACTGAGGTCTCTAACATGTGTGTTGTTCACCCTGTGAGTGTGATGTGTTTTTTTTCTAGGGTGTTTCCCCGTCACGTCCATCCAGTTCACTTAGGTTCACTTAGTTCCCCAATTGACTTGCAAGTAAACAAGCAACTGCTGTGGTCACCCAGTTACAGATCTTTCAGAAAGATAATCTTCCAAACGAGATGGGTGGAGTGACAACTAAACAGCGCTTTAACAATAGGTCAGATTGTTTACAGATTAAAGATCCAGCTTCTGGAAATTATAAACTTGTTTGCTGATACAATTCTGAGAACCAACATGATTCACGCGGGTGGAATGTTCATTGTGCTGTGGTATTAATCCTTTCACAAACTGAGCAACAAATATAAACAAATATAAACAGCTATTTTATAAATATAAACGTTTAAAATCTCACGGCTCTCACCTCCTCTACCTACCCGACCTCCCCCTAAAACTCTCCAAACCCGTACGCAACCTAGGTGTCATATTCGACCCTCAATTATCCTTCCTCCCCCACATCCGGTCCCTCACCAGCACCACCTTCTACCACCTCTGACGCATTGCCCATCTCCGCTAATACCTCACTCCAAAATCCGCTGAAACCCAAGTCCATGCCTTTGTCAGCTCTCGGCTGGACTACTCTAATGCCTTCCTCACCGGTCTCCCCTCCACTAACATCCATAAATCCAAATCATTCAAAACTCTGCTGCCCACAAACTCACCCACACCAAACTCCGCTCCCCGATCACCCCAGTCCTTGCCAGACTGCACTGGTTGCCTGTCCCAGAGAGGATCAATTTCCAGATCCTCACCCTTGTATTCAAGTCCCTGCACTCCTCTGCGCCCCCCTACCTCTCTGACCTCCTCTCTCCTCAAAACAGTACCCGTTGCCTTCGTTCCTCCGGGTCTGACCTCCTCCTCATCCCCCGAGTCCTCCCATCCACCCTCGGTGGCCGTGCCTTCAGCCACTATCCCCCGAGGATCTTGAATTCCCTTCCTCACTCCCTTCACCTCGCCCCCTCTCTTCCTATTTTCAGGTCCCTGCTGAAGACCTTTCTCTTCGACCGTGTCTTTGGTCACCTCCTCCCCATCCCCTGGCTCGGCCCCGGGATCTGTTACTGTGAAGCGCCCGTAGGGCATGGAGGGTGCTATATAAACCAAGTTGTTGTTGTTATTTTCCTGTGCTTGTGTGTATGGAGGGGGGGAGGGGGCAGCAAGGAATCCTCTTCTCCCCACCCCCCCAGCTGATCTGGCTCCAAGATGACACTCTCAGCAACAGAGTGTGAGGATTGAGTCAATCTTCTGTGGGGGTTCCTGAGCCAGGCAGGTCTGCAGCGTTCTAGGTCACTGCTGATGGTAGGCTAGCATCAGGATTTGGAGGGAGCAGGGATTCTTCCCACTCAGTTCCTGTTAAACCTGAACAAATAGTGGGAAGCTTACCAGACAGTACTTTCAATGGCAAGTCATACGATTTTAACTGATTAAACAACAGCAATAGTCCAATGCACACTCAGGAATTGCCCAGCATTTGCTTTAGTGAAGAGCCTAATATTCTATGGAATTAGATAACAAAGTTACATTTATAGAGCTCCTTTCACGTCGGGAGGACGTCCCAAATCGCTGAACAATGAGATGTTGGGGCCTGAGCTGGGGGAGGGATGGTGTAGGGGTGAGGGAAGGCAGAGAGGTGGGAGGAGACCAAAGGCATGGTCGAAGAGAAAGGTCTTGAGACCGGCCTTGAAGGAGGCAAGGGAGGAAGCGAGGCGAAGGGACCGTGGATGGAGTTCCAGAGTGTGGGGGCAGAGCGGCTGAAAGCCCGGCCACTGATGGTAAGGCAGGTCGGGCGGGAGACATGGAGCAGGTTGGTAGGGAGCAGGTGGGCGAGTCTCTCCAGGGAGAGTGTGTATGTTCCATTTCATCATGGGAATTTCCATGCATGGGTAGCAACACAATAGCAACAACAACAAATTACATTTATTTAGCACCTTTCACATCGGGAGGATGTCCCAAGGCTGCAGGACCAACAAGAATTTCAACCCCAGGAGAGGGTTGAGATCAGGAAGGGAGGAGGGGAGAGAAGGTAAGGATAGGAGGATGACCGAAGGCACGGTCGAAGAGGAGGGTCTTGAGACGTGCCTTGAAGGAGGCAAGGGAGGGAGTAAGGTGAAGGGAATGTGGGATGGAGTTCCAAAGGGTGGGGGCAGAGAAGTTGAAGGCCATATCACTGATGGTGGGGCAGCCCATCCCTGATGTATCTGATGAATGAATAATATTCTTTGTAATGTGATAATCCCAATCTTATTCAAAACTCCGCCGCCTGCATTCTCACCCACATCAAACTCCGATTACTCCAGTCCTTGCCAAACTCCACTGGCTTCCTGTCGCAGAACGGATCGACTTCAGGATCCTCACTCTAGTGTTTAAATCCCTCCATTTCTTGGCACCCCTCTATCTCTGTAACCTCCTCTCTCCCCATAGCAATACCCACTGCCTCCACTCTACTGGGTCCAGTCTCCTCAGCGTCCCCCAAATCCTCCGCTCCACCATTGGTGGCCATGCTTTCAGCCACTACACCCCGAAACTTTGCAACTCCCTCAATCCCTTTGCCTTGCCCCCTTGTGCCTGAAGACCTTCCTTTTCGACCGTGCCTAGAGTCATCTTCCCCCTCCCCTTACCTTGGCCTTGGACTCCACCATTGTTAAGCGCTCTGAGATGCCGCCCGGCTTGGAGGGCGCTATATAAGTGCAAATTGTTGTTGTTGTTTTAATAATTTATAAAGTATCAATGCACCAAAATAATATTGTTTGAAACATGATGTAAACACTGCAGTTTGAAAATTTATAAAAATCTACTTAATTTCTGCATTGTACATAATTAATGGTTTAAATTCCTGTTGCACAGTTTCTTGCAAGATTTTGCCTGGGAAAACAAACCAAAATGTATAAGGCTTTCTTTGCTCATTACTTGCAACTTCCTGTAATGTAGGTGATGATTAAACTAATAGATTGTTGAAATAATGGAATAAACACTGTACATAACTTGACAAT